TTCTTTAGCTGTGCCAAAAGATCGTAAATTGTTCACCATATGAGCTTTAATAAATCCCAAAATCCAGGAAACAATCCGTGCATCCTTTGCTTCCCATTGACCAAGATTTTTTGTCTCAGTAGGGGCTGGGGTAGATTCATCAATATGACCCCAAAGCTCATTCCCTTTTAAGAACATTCTAAGTTGAAATTCCCATGCGGCATAATTCTTTCCCGTAAATTTGATAACTAAGATTTCAGAAGACATTTTAAAAATAAATAAAATTCAAATCAAGGGCTAGGTTGGTAGATGCGAAGAACTTCAGGCGAGGTACGAGACACAGCAGAAGCGAAGATCGCGGAGTGGATGCAGGATTGTCCAGAGATGTCCGCACGGTATCTCTGAATGCAGGATGCGAAGATCGCGGAGTGGATCGGTGGATCGAGGCACGAGACTCGGCAGATGCGAAGATCGCGGAGTGGTGCAGGACGATCGATCGAACGATCGGGACAGATCGATCGCGGAGCAGATGCAAAGAACGAAGATCGAACGAGCGGCAGATGCGACGATCGAACGAGCGGGAGCGAACGGCAGATATCCGAAGATGCCGCACCAGAGGAGAAGTCCAGACCAGAGCGAGCGGAGCGGAGATGTCCGGAGATGCCGCACCAGTCGTAAACTCAGCACCAAAGGTCCGATCGAAGGCGATCGGCTCTGGTCCGATCGAAGGCGATTGGCTTGAAGCAGCTGTAGAACTCAATCAAAGCGGACGAAGATTCCACAGAACTCAAAGATAAGAACGACCTCTCCGGTAAGGAAGCTGTCGAACCGGTAAGGAAGCCGTCGAACATGCCAGACAAATATAACAAAAACTAAAATTTCAAGGATTCAAGCTCTGATATCATGACAATATTTTGAGTAAATAGACTGAATGCCTTTTCCTTTGCTTTCATTCCAATAAATAGTAGTTTGTACAATCTATTTTAGGTACAAAATATTCAGTATAATCTAATTTAAGTAACTTAATTAATACATATTCATAATCTAAATATTTCAGCTAAAAAGGAGAGAATCCGTGCAAATATAATATTTCTTTCTTTGCATTATTGCGAAGAAGGAAACTCTTTATTATGATTTCTTTTATTCCTGATTGATAATAAATAGCTTTCTCTTCTGTCTTATCTTTAGTTGTCTTCAATTTCTCTCACTTATCCTAATCTCATCAATCTCATTCATTTTTCTCTATCCTAATCAAATATAATTAATAATAAATTATGATTATTAATTATATCTAAAACAACTTCAAATATTTTAATTTTTATGGATATCTTTTTTATCTCTTGTTGCATTATGTTAGATACTAATTTTATTTGTCATCTTAGAAGAAGTCAATTTTAGATCCTTTTGTTGTGTCTCAGATGAAGTTATCTCATTGACATCATCTATAAATAATTGATCATCTAATGTCATATATTCACATAGTAGGGAATTCTCACCATCCTTTAAACTATTTTTCTTCAGATTTCTATTCTTCAATCCTTTGTTGTAGATGATGTATACCAAATAAGTCATCCTTAAGTTCATTTGATGATTTTTCTGTCTTATGTGAACTTGATTTTAAATGTGATCTAGCTGTGTTCTTATCTAGATAACGAGCATATAAGTCCCAATCAAGGATTAAAATGCATAAATGAGTATTTAATCGTTTTATTCTGCAGGACAAGTCTTAAGCCAACAGATGGTTTAAAGACAAATCTCAAATTCCAAAAATTCCTTGAAGGAATGAGTATTGTGAAAACTTTAAAACATGAAGCAAGAATCAATATAATAACATCTTAATATATTAACAATTTGAAAATTAACATATTAACATCCTAAAAGTTAAGAAGTAACAAATTGCGTCATGTTAATATCAAAATATCAATTCATGAAATAAGTTGGGATATATAAGTATCAAACTATCAAAAAAACTAAGATATCAAAGTAGAACACTAAAACTCGATGACATAACAAAAAAAATGTTTAACATAGCCTCTCTCTCACTCATATTACCCTCTACTTAAATTAAAATATAACACGTCATCAATATTAGAATTTTTAAATTCAAAAGTCCATTTTTTTCTCATCACTTAATGGGTCTTCATTAGAGTTATCTACATATTGAATTGTTTTCTCCTCATTCTGGAGTATCCTTTTTTTTTCCATTTCTCCTCATCTTCAATTTCCATATGTGGTGGAAGAAGCAGATATCGACGACGGTGGCGCTAAGGGCAGCCTAAGAGGGGAGATCATGTTTGAGAGAGAAGATTATGCGCAACAAGGCTTGATGGTGGAAGCAGCAGGATGAAGTGGTAATGACAACAATGTAAAGGATGCCAGTGTATGAGTGGGAGGGGAGATCATGTGTGAGAGGGGATACCATGCACAACAAGGGGTCCGGGCCAAAGTAGTAGGCGATGATGGCGACACTAAGGGATGCTGGTGTATGCATGGGAGAGGAGATTGTGAGAGGGGAGATCATGCATGTGTGAGAGGGGGGAGGTTGACATTAAGTAAAATTTAAAAAGAAACCCTAAGCCTATGTGGCACATGTCTCAAGATAATTGAAGCGAGGTGCGTTTTACCAAATGTGAGGTGTATGCAATTTTAAATAAGGATTCTCCCATCAGTGAATACGACAAGAAAACTTGGGAAGGAGTACCTTTTAAAAAGCTTTTTTAGCACAGAAAAGAGAGAACGAAAAGTGGGAGATGTGTACATGGGAGGCCTGAGATATTGTTAAGCTTCCATCTATGAGTGGGAGGGGAGATCATGTGTGAGAGGGGATGCCATGCACAACAAGGGGTCCGGGCCACAGTAGTAGGCGATGATGGCGACACTAGGGGATGCTGGTGTATTCATGGGAGAGGAGATTGTGAGAGGGGAGATCATGCATGTGTGAGAGGGGGGAGATTGACATTAAGTAAAATTTAAAAAGAAACCCTAAGCCTATGTGGCACATGTCTCAAGATAATTGAAGTGAGGTGCGCTTCACCAAATGTGAGGCGTATGGCTCACCCAAATCTTTTGAGGAGTGTCTCAATGCAATTTTAAATAAGGATTCTCCCATCAGTGAATATGACAAGAAAACTTGGGAAGGAGTACCTTTTAAAAAGCTTTTTTAGCACAGAAAAGAGAGAACGAAAAGTGGGAGATGTGTACATGGGAGGCCTGAGATATTGTTAAGCTTCCATCATATTTGTTTTGTCAATATCATAGAAAGTTGTGAATACATTCGTAAATGGACTAGTTTGTTATCCATGGCCACGATTTGTGGAGTAAGTGCATGTGCGGTTTTAAATTGTGTTACATAATTCCCACGCAAATGAAAATTATAATGTGTCTGCTTTTTGAAAGAAACATAGCTTCAACACTTTGCTAAACCAAGCCCCTCCACGATTGATGAAATGAACTTGACATATTAGTAATACATACATGCTTAAAAATTAACCTCTCTCCCTTATATATATGCTCCTGAGGGCCGGCATGTATGGAAAAATGGAATCCTCTTAATTAATTTGTTTATTAGTTGGCTCTCCTATTTTTTATCGATTTTGTTTCTGTTTTAATTTTGTGACATGGTGCCCAAGTTCTATTATTTTAAAACTATTCTGACATAACTGAACATGATATTGATATGATCGAGGAAGTCTGAATAGTCTGATTTAATGTAGCTTGGTATGTAGTTAAGGTTTCAAGTGTTGTAATCTGCTTGTAGCTTTGTTTAGTAATCTGCCTGTGGATTTGACCATGTACTTTATTAATTGCATGAAATACATTTGTTTTGATGCTGACTTGTTGAGGGAAACTGATTTGAAGTTTTTTTTTTCTTTTTTTTTTCCAGCAAAGAATATAGTCCTTGCAGGAGTAAAGTCCGTTACCTTGCATGATGAAGAGGATGTACAAATATGGGACTTGTCTAGCAACTTCTTTCTGTCGGAGGGCGATATTGGTAAAAATCGAGCCCTTGCTTGTCTGCAAAAGTTGCAAGATCTTAACAATGCTGTCACGATATCAACAATTACAGAGAAGTTGTCAAAAGAGCATCTTTCAAATTTCCAGGTTTCTTTTTTATTAGTATTTGTCTACGCATTGAGGCTATGGACTTTTTGCATCTGTTCTCTTTTTCTTTATGATCCTTCGGGAAAATAGGATAATCTTCTGGCAAACTAACCTTAATAAAACCATTTTATGTAGGCATACCATATTAATGTAACTGATTGGACTTGTCTGTTTTATTGGTTTCTATTTTATTTTTATGACAACTGCTCTGATATCTGGGAGATAATATTTCCACAATTCTCCTCATGCAGAATTTTGCAATTAGCTATACATTTGTGGGATTACATATATTAAGAAGTTTAGAATTTGAATGCTTTTCAGGATAAACTGTTAAATCTTATCAATATTCAAAATCACTTCTTCCATTTCTATAGTTTTATCTTCAGCTTTCTCCTATCTTTTTGGGTCCTTTTTATTATCATCAAAATCACTTAAATCATTGTAAAATGGTTTCTTGGTCAAGCCATCAAAATATCAAAGATCATGTTTTAGTGGAGTGGTGCCTAAGACATTTAGAACTCAAGGAGCTCGACTGGATGCTCTGCTCATCCAAGCTAACATTTAGAACTGAGACATCTTAATTTTCTACGAGTAGTTTTCAGCTAAGGAAAACAATATGATTAACAGTTCAAATGGATGCTGTTAGAAATCATCCTTCTTTGATTGAAACTGTTCAATATTAATTCAGCACAACAAAATAATTGTATGACTTCTATTATTGCCAACTGAAATGTGATGTAATTCCTTTTTCCAATTTAACCTATCTATGCTAGGAAACCCTAAGTTTGGGTAGCTTATATGTATTGGAAATAAATTCTGGGTGAAAAAGAAGTGGTTATGGGGCCAAAGAAAATGATTTTTTATTCTATTTCTCTATTATGGCTTTATCTAATATTCCAAATTATTACTAAAAGGGTGTTCAGACTCTACCATGGTTCACCATAATCTAAGGTACACCATCCATGTCTCATAATTGATCCAATTCATTGATGCTTTGGGTTTGATATATATAATCCTCATACAGTGAGCTCGGCCTCACTTGGCTATAATTGGGCAAAGCCTTGGACAAGCAGCTGCAACTGAGTTCAGTATCTGTTGAGAAATATCTAGAGTAGGTGATTACTTCTCTTTCCTTGAGTCAATTATTTTTTAGCAAAGATTGCCTTTTTTTGGTGACGACTGATAGAATTCTAGCCAATGAATTATTGAGATGTTGAGGACCCTATTTGCCAAGTGAAGAAAGTTATTCTATGACACGGCTACATTTGATGATGACAACTGAGTTAGTTAGGCATTGGCCTCTTCTATAGTCTGTAAGCCTCTAAATATGATCTAGAGTTTGAAGCTAAGGATAGCATTTATTACAGTAGAACCCCTTTATATGTGATTAAAAACTGAGATCTCCCCTTTTAGAATCCTTCCACTTCATTATATAATCAATTGTTGCGGGTCTCATTGCTAATACTTCTCCCAACATGTTGCTCTAGATGTCATGGAATGCAGTATGGTGCATGGAAATCATTTCAATGAAAATTTTAAATGTTTTGAGTTTTTGAAGTTCTTATGCTTAGTTTGCCTTGGGTTGGGATTGGGTTTTACCTGATTTTCTTTTTACCAACTTATTACAGATGGTTTTCAGTTGATTCAATCTATTTGACTCCGATTGTAATCCAGTTTTTGAGTTGAATTGATATGGATAGACTGATTGCATTTTTTGTTTGTGATTGGAGGGATTGATTTGCGAGGGTTGGCAATGATGAGATGAAACCACAGACGGAGCAATGCAAATGAGGAAGGAGTTAGATTGAATTAGTGTAAAATTTGCTGAGTTTTTATTATAGTTACTACATAATCCACGAACCATCATAATTTCCACCCACTTAGCGTTTGGCTTATTTTCTAAACCTCGTTATCCTTATTAAAACATCATTGCGGTTATTCTTGGCAGCATGTATGGGGGTAAGCGCACCGAGCCGAGCAAGAACTTGTGCATGGCCAAATTCATTTATTATTAACCTGATATAGCTCAATTCAAGCTTGATTCAAGCTTTTATGTTTGTGTTAAGCTTGGTTCATTGAAAATCATAGTTGTTTGAGCTCAGCACTTCTTTGGTTCATTTAGTGAATAAACATGCCTTATTGTGCCATTAACAAGCTCTACTATCGACTGCTTTCTGCCAAATGAGCTTTATCAAGCATATTAATGAGTGCCGCTTGCTTGCTAACTAATTGGGCCTTATTGAACCCATTAACAAACTAACATATCTTTCCTTATCTAGCTCATTAATGAACAAAACTATCAAGCGTTATCGATCCCATTAACAAAAGAACGAAACAAGTCTCATAACACTTATTAACAGGTAACATGTCGAGCTTAATAAATGATACTATAGTTGAACAAGTTTCCGAATGAACAATGAAATCAAGCATTCCAACAAATATATACAAATGTCATATGTTCGTGAACAAAACCAACCTACAAAGAGAATATAACACACACAAAAGACTCTTATCCTTTTTTTTATGCACTATAATTCATTTATTACAGCAAATTACTTATATTCTTGCCATAGGGTGAAATATACAAACTTGCTATCTTTAGGTATAGATTTACTCATAATGATCATAATTGAACTGAGCAATATGTTGTTCAAACTTTGTTCAATTGAAAACCCAAGTGTTATAAAAGTGTATAAATTTGTTTGATTAGTTAATTGAGCAATCATGAATGAGCTTTAATCGAGCCGAGATATTTGTAGCTTGTCAAACGCTTGATTCATTTCCAACCCCGGCAATATGGTCTCTTAGCTGCATTATCATATTGCTATCCAGACAGTCCCGCTTATTTCAAAACAATAGAAGTGTTGTTTATTTCATAATATTTCATTATTACACATCAACTGGTCCAAGTTAAAGAAAAAATTCCCTTTTTTAATCTTTTACCAATTAGACAAACTTGATATTACTTATTGAATGTTAGTGTACTCAGCATGTCCTTGAACTTGATGAACTTGATATAGTTATTTCTACGCTGCAGGCCAAACTTGATATTACTTATTGAATGTTAGTGTACTCACCATGTCCTTGAACTTGATATAGTTATTTCTACGCTGCAGGCCGTTGTCTTTACTGATGCTACTTTAGAGGAAGCCATCGAATATGATGAGTTCTGCCACAATCACCAACCGCCAATTGCCTTTATAAAATCTGAAGTTCGAGGACTTTTTGGTAGTGTGTTTTGTGATTTTGGCCCAGAGTTTACTGTGTTTGATGTTGATGGCGAAGAACCTCACAGTGGTATTGTGGCTTCTATCAGTAATGACAACCCTGCAGCTGTCTACTGCATTGATGATGAAAGGCTTGAGTTCCAAGATGGGGATCTTGTTGTTTTCTCTGAAATCGATGGAATGAATGAGCTAAATGACGGAAAGCCAAGAAAAATAAAAAATGTAAACCCATATTCATTTACTCTCGAGGAGGATACTACAAATTTTGGCAGGTATGAGAAAGGAGGTATTGTAACACAGGTAAAGCTACCCAAGATCCTTCGCTTTAAAACCTTAGAAGTTTCTCTTAAGGAGCCAGGTGACTATCTTCTGAGCGACTTCTCAAAGTATGATCGCCCACCTTTATTACATTTGGCTTTCCAAGCCTTGGACAAATTTAGGCATGATTTGGGTCGTTTCCCTATTGCTGGCTCTAAAGAGGATGCTCAGAGGCTGATAGATTTTGTTACTAACATCAATTTATGCCTGGTGGAGGGTAAACTGGAAGAGATTGACGATAAGCTGCTGCAGTATTTTGCTAGTGGTTCCCGAGCAATTTTAAATCCAATGGCTGCAATGTTTGGTGGCATTGTAGGCCAGGAGGTTGTGAAAGCGTGCTCTGGGAAGTTCCATCCACTTTTTCAGGTTAAGCATCTGTAATTTCTATATTTTTCTTTTACTTGTTATGAATTGAGTTCCTAGCATGTGATAATTAAGTACTGTTTCAGTTATTCTACTTTGATTCGGTTGAGTCACTTCCAGCGGAACCATTGAATGCTGATGATTTGAAGCCTTTAAATTGCCGTTATGATGCCCAAATTTCTGTTTTTGGATCAAAGCTTCAAAAGAAGATTGAAGAGGCTAAAGTCTTTATGGTGGGTTCTGGTGCTCTTGGATGTGAGTTTCTGAAGAATCTGTCTTTAATGGGAGTTTGCTGCAGTCAGAATGGGAAGTTGACTCTAACAGACGATGATGTGATTGAGAAGAGTAATCTGAGCCGCCAGTTCTTATTCCGTGATTGGAATATTGGACAAGCCAAATCTACAATAGCTGCTGCCGCGGCTAGCTCAATCAACCCACTAACACATGTTGAAGCTCTCCAAAATCGAGCAAGCCCAGAGACTGAAGATGTGTTTAATGATGCTTTCTGGGAGAGCCTGAGCGTTGTCATCAATGCACTGGACAATGTAAATGCTAGACTGTACATGGATATGCGGTGTGTATATTTCCAGAAGCCGCTTCTAGAATCTGGAACACTTGGTGCCAAGTGTAATACCCAGATGGTCATACCTCATCTGACTGAGAATTATGGAGCTTCCAGAGATCCACCTGAGAAGCAAGCACCTATGTGCACGGTCCATTCTTTCCCCCACAATATTGATCATTGTTTGAGCTGGGCCCGCTCCGAGTTTGAAGGTTTGTTTGAAAGAACTCCCAATGAAGTGAACAATTTCTTATCCAACCCCGAAGAATATGCTTTGTCCATGAGAAATGCAGGTGATGCTCAGGCCAGGGACCTACTTGAGCGTGTTTATGAATTTCTTGAGAAGGAGAGGTGTGAGACATTTGAGGACTGTGTTAAATGGTCAAGACTGAAGTGAGTACCCAGTCAGTATCATCTATTAATTATAGTTCTTAAAATGTTCAAGAGAATGCTTTTCCAAAATTTCATGCAAAAATTTGTCCTTTTCTTAATGACTTCCCAGTGGAAGATTGCATTGGATTCTTGTCTTACTATTATTTCCTACTTATTGCAGGATTTTCTAAATTAGTCAGTAATGCTATGACTGATTTACCAATTTAAGAATTAGTCCGTTTTATAATATCATTCTTAAAAATCTCAAATAAACTCATTTTGATAGTGATGCTGAAGGCTAGCTTTATTTCATGCCGTTCATGATCTCACTTTCTTTTACTGTTAATTTGAAATCAGTGCTGAATGAATGCTTTTGTGCTTCCAGGTTTGAGGATTACTTCACCAATCGAGTGAAGCAGTTGACGTTTACCTTCCCAGAGGATTCTCTCACCAGTACAGGCACACCATTTTGGTCTGCTCCCAAGCGTTTTCCACGTCCATTGCAGTTCTCCTCTTGTGATCCAGGGCATCTCCAATTTATCATGGCTGCTTCTATTTTGAGAGCGGAGTCTTTTGGGATTCCTGTTCCTGATTGGGCCAAAAACCCAAAGATGTTAGCTGATGTTGTTGATAGTGTCTTAATTTCTGATTTTAAGCCAAAAAAGGATGCTAAAATTGTAACGGATGAGACAGCAACCAATCTTACCGCTGCATCTATTGATGATACTGATGTAATTGAAGATCTTATTGCTAAATTGGAAGCATGTGTCAAAAGGCTTCCCCCAGGGTTTCGAATGTGCCCTATTCAGTTTGAGAAGGTTTGTTCCGCCCCTCTTATATGTCTTCTTCCTCCTCTCGGCCACAATGTGTCGCTTAGGCTTTACCAACTATTTACTGCCTTTTAGATTATTACTGGAAGCTGAGCATAAACATTTAAGCCGATAGGAGTAATTTTAGTTTTATTTCATTTATATTAGTACACAAAGAATATTCTGATATTTTTGCATTGACTTTTGATGATCATCAATTTGATTTATTTTATGTAGTTGAGTATTCTCCTTCCCATTCTTCTAATCTATATTTTAGTGGTTATCTTGTTGAGGGATTTCTCCCTCTAAATTGAATGCTAATCTCCCTCCCTCTCACTTCCTCCCTCTCTCTCTCTCTCTCTCTTTCCCTTCTTCCGAGGTCAAATCAACCAAAAAATTACGAAAGATTTTCTAATCCCATATAAAATGCAGAAATTATAACGCTTAATCTCACTTATTTCTTAATTAATTCAGATGTTATACTTCCCTATTCATATTCATGAAGCTTCCTTCTACTATTTCCCTCAACCCTTCCACTGGAAATTGGAGGATCAACAGTAATTAGGCATGCAGATTTTCTTTCTTCTATTTTTTTATCTCTCTCTCTCTCTCTCTCTCTCTTCCTCTCTTCCGAGGTCAAATCAACCAAAAAATTACAGAAGATTTTCTAATCCCATTTAAAATGCAGAAATTATAATGCTTAATCACTTTCCCTTCTTCCGAGGTCAAATCAACCAAAAAATTACGAAAGATTTTCTAATCCCATATAAAATGCAGAAATTATAACGCTTAATCTTTAAAATGCAGAAATTATAATGCTTAATCACACTTATTTCTTAATTAATTCAGATGTTATACTTCCCTATTCATATTCATGAAGCTTCCTACAATTTCCCTCAACCCTTTCACTGGAAACTGGAGGATCAACAGCAGTAATTAGACATGCAGATTTTCTTTCTTCTATTTTTTTATCTGTTTTACATGACATACTATGGCTATTTACTGCATCAAATGCTCAGCAAACATAGCCTGTCAAGTTACCTGACATGGGATGATAAAATTTCATGTTAGTCTTTCTGAATCTGTGAATTTGATGGTTCACTCTCTAGACTTGCATTGAAGATTAAATTTTTCATGCTATTATTTTCTTTTCTTGGCTGACCCCACTTAGTGCGATAAATGCTTGTTGTTGTTGTTGTATTGTCATTTCTTGAAGAGCAATGCTACATAGCACATTATTTTTTTTTCTCACCGAATGAGAAATTAAAAAAATCATAACTCCTTTTTCATTAATTTATCGCTCATTTTGATTAAGACCTGTAGCTCGACCTTCTCAGTCTGCTAAAAATCATTGGCAAATGTGTGTTATGTCATTTCTTGAAGAGCAATGCTACATAGCACATTGTTTTTTTCTCTCTCACCGAATGAGAAAATTAAAAAATCATAACTCCTTTTTCATTAATTCATCGCTCATTTTGATCAAGACCTGTAGCTCGACCTTCTCAGTCTGCTAAGAATCATTGGCAAATGTGTGTTTTGTTATCTCTTTCTTAAATGATTACTTGTTTTACAAAACTTTTCACTGATCTCTCCAGGATGATGACACAAATTACCATATGGATTTTATTGCTGGGGTTGCTAATATGCGAGCAAGAAACTACAGCATTCCAGAAGTTGATAAACTTAAGGCTAAATTTATTGCTGGTAGAATTATCCCAGCAATTGCAACTTCCACCGCCCTGGCTACTGGCCTTGTTTGTCTTGAACTCTACAAAGTCCTTGCTGGTGGGCACAAAAGAGAAGATTACAGAAATACCTTCGCTAATCTCGCACTCCCATTGTTCTCCCCGGTTGCTCCCAAGGAAATTAAGCACCGTGATATGAAATGGACGGTGTGGGATCGTTGGATCATAGAAGGGAACTTGACACTAAGTGAACTCCTGAAATGGCTATCTGATAGGGGACTCGGTGCATATAGCATTTCCTGCGGTACGTCATTACTTTACAATAATTTGTTTGCTAGTCATAATAACCGTTTGGAGAAGAAAATAGTGGACTTAGCAAGAGAAGTGGCTAAGGTGGAGGTGCCTTCGTATAGAAGGCATCTAGACGTCGTTGTTGCTTGTGAGGATGATGAAGGCAATGACATTGATATACCGCTCATTTCCATTTACTTTCGATAGTTAATATTAGATTAGAGAACATAGCTATAAATTAGATTGCTATTTGTCCTAAGAATATAAAGTTTATTATGCCATCGGCTTAGATTTTCGTCTGTCATTTTTCATTTTTATTGCGGTGAGTTCTATGCAAAATGGTGTTGTGCTACCATTTTTCTTTAAAGGGGAATAGAAATTATACAAGGAATTTCCTTTACAAATTTCTATATTGGAAGTCATTTTCACCTGTCAGTTTATATTAACATGTATAGTTTCAGGATATCTATATAAGATGCTTATAAGTATTGAAATGTTGATGAAGAGAAGGTAGAGATGTAAAATATGTGCGGAGAAGCTGCTGAATTCATTTCTTCTGGAATACTGGCAATATATGTTTTCTTGAATATTGCATTTTGCATTAATAAAAACACATGCTATAAAAAGTATGCATGTTGCGCTCATGTACAAAAATGTGATCTATCATCTAGAAGTATAGAAAAAAGATTACTATCATCAACATGCGACAAAAGAAAAGAACTATGAAGGGCAAGTTTGGCACAAAAATAAGTTGCTTTGCTTGAATATTGCATTTTGCATTAATAAAAACACATGTTATAAAAAGTATGCATGTTGCACTCATGTATAAAAATGTGATCTATCATCTAGAAGTATAGAAGAAAGATTACCATCATCAACATGTGTCAAAAGAAAAGAACTATAAGATGCTCTATTACATTCTCTAGGTATGCAAAAAAATAAAACTTGTTCGAAACTTAAAAGACAAATCACGTATGGGGCTTCATGTGATCGTTGTCGCCAAACTTCTTTTCTTATGGTAGCTCTTAAAAAGTTTTTGATGTTGATTTTGTTGCCCTCAATGATGTTGTTATTGAATTCAAACATTCATGATTTACAAATGACTTGAAGTAACTAAATGGTTAACACAATTCAAGAGGAGACAATCATTAGAGAATGGGGTTTGTTAAAAACCAATGATGAGATATCACAAGGTGTGAAGGGTTGTGATAAGCATGTGCAATAGTGAGCAATTGTTTTTTTTTATTAATTTATGGTTGTAACATAGCCCTACAAGTTAATGAGCTTAGTAGGGATTGTTTTCATTCTTTTTAGTACACTTTTGGAGTCGTCGGTTTATCTTATCGTCGTTGTATAATTCTTTCCAAATAAGTCTCTATTTTGAATCATGAAAATGATTTAAAGAAAAGAGAAACCAGAGAGAAATAAAATATGAAAAAATTAGACAAACAATTTTAAAAAAACGTGAACAACTTTCATTAGGTAACCTTCACACGATAGTCCAAGTGCGTACGCCCGAAACGGGATTGGATCGAAAATACATTGTTAACATATTCGCGAAGAGAACCCTATAAAAGTAACCCACAACTAGAGAATCAAGTTTTTGTGTTATTCTGGGTTAAAAGCAGCTCCGAAAGGAACATATTCATTTGGTTAATTACATATTGGGAGAGTCCAAGCATACTCTCGATAAGAAAGTCTTGTTTACATTATTTTTGATATCCAATTATTTGAGAAACTAGACTTTGATCATCTCGAGTGAGAGAATCTTGATGCTTTCGACGCTCACACCAGACCATAGGGCAGAGGGTGAATCACCGTATCCACTACGGGCGGCGGCGCTCAGGAATGTAAGGCACACAAGATGATATCAATGATTTTTTAAATGGAATCAACAGGGCTCAAAAGAGGTGTCAACGGAAAGGGGAGAGATCCCTAAGCAAGTAGAGGTTGTCAGGTTAAGATACAATTGATCTGTTATCTCAATCTATGGAGACCCTAAGCTTACCTCGTTGTCAAGACAGTTGACCCAATCTGAACAGAGATCCCTTATCAGTAATCCATGAATTATACTGTCCAAGGGAATCTCGATAGCCCTAAGGTTAAAGGAAATAAATCTCTAATTTCTTATGACGATGAAAGATGTGGAATAGGTATATGTGGGACTTATACTTGTCAATTAATTGACAAAGATGCTGCTGAAAAAAGAGAAGAGGAGAGGGGCCCAGTTACATAGCTGGAATCGCTCCATAAAGGGCTTTGTCCCTATCTTGGTTGGGGATGCCTTTAACACTCTAGTCGAGTTAGACAACATCCTATGTAAAAATTTATGCTTAACTTAGTCGATTGGAGGAGCACAATGACTCCTCTTCGGGATATGCAACATGATGTAATTATCTATAAATTAACTTAATTGTGGAGGCCCTATTCGCGATGAGATGGGATATGTTCATATTATGCAACTCATTTTAAGTCAGGTCAAAAGGTCATCAGGAAAGCAAGTGCATAAAGAAAATTGCTTATTTTAAAGTTGAGATATTTTAATACTAAATTTATTATTAATTTTGAATTTTTTATTATTAGGATTTTTGAAAGATTATTTTTGGGTTCTTAGTGAACCTAAGTTGCATTTTCGTATGAGCCCAGACAAATCACAAGCCAAGAAAGATAAAATGGATTCCTGGTCCCCATCACATGGTTCAACTCGTCATGCACCTCCAAACCCGTGCTTATACCCTATTTATGATACAAGACTCCCTAAGGACTATAGAAGTGCATATTGAAAGTCCAAAAAAGACTTGACCCGAAGAAGAGGTTAGTGCAGGAAATATTTATGCAATGCTTAATGAATCATGTCTGACGGGAGGAGAGCATTTGTAGCACCTGCAGAAAGTGTTAGAATTTAAATCATTACTTGCTCCTCCCTTTAATTCATTTTTAGGCATGACTTCCACTAAGAAAACCACATCTAATATACTAGTGCGCTAGTCTCGAACTCCAGTAAGCACATAAAAGCCAATACATAAAACGATGTCTGGCCAGTGCAACCAAACCAGCAGAGAATAATAATTAGGACATTAGTCCTGACCCAACACTCTATCTAACGGAAAGTGCCCTAACTACAACATCTAAGTGCATGTGCAATACATGAGTAAAGGATATTATATGATTTTGACGGAGTCGCCAAAATGGGCTCCATCCTAAAGATCCAATGGATCAAATATTTGTCACCCAAAAGGATTTTTAAAAGGGCTGGCCTCACATATCACCTAGTTTTGATATAACAAACTATTAAGTGTTGGTCTGTACATGCAAGGTGACATATGTTAAAGCCCTTAGAACCTTAGTATAGTCATACTTGTGTTGATCTCGATGCAATAACTCGCATTGCTCACACAGATTCACCCGACAAGCAATGCTCGTTAAAACATTGTAATCACCACAGAGTCATTCACCTAATGAGTCTAATTTGCTATTAAGCCACACGAGGTGATGCTCATGTAATCATGCAATGTAACATAATCAGGTGGGCACACATTGTGCACTTAGTGGGTTTAGTGGCTTTGAAGTGTGACTCGAATTGAGCGCACAATGTGAATTACTTATGGCATTCAAGTGTGATGCCATAAGAGATGAGATCGTGTGCTCTCCATTTAGGAGATTCACCCACCGGCAGGCTAGCATTCCTAGCCACCACTCATTAGAGGTTTGCAAGTATGGAGCCACGCACATATGGTGGCATATGTGTGTGGTACTATCGCAAGTGTTGGTGCTCAAGGAGACACCACAAGCAAACATATTCTAAAGGCGATCTTGATTTCTTTTTCATGCAATAGTATTTAACATATTACATATCATTAAAAAAATTCATTTTTTTATGAATATACAACCACAACCCCCATCATTTAGCATGAACATACAAGTATGTGAATGCAAGTGAAAGACATGCAACAAGCAAGTGAAGTTAGCCACTTGACCCGTTGGGTCGACTGGGTACTATGACCAAAGGAGGGGGGGGGGTGTTTGATCGGGCCAGAATGACCAACTGAACCAAAGTGATTGGTTGATCAAGTCTTAGTTTCCAATCGAACCAAAGTGAGTGGTTGATCGGACCTTGTTGGTCGTTCAAACCAAATTAATCGGTCGATCGAGCCTTCGTGGCCGGTCAAATCAAATTGATTTGTTGTATTGATGGGGTCTTGTTGGCCGATCAAACCAATGTAATTGGTTTTTTGGATCGGGCCTTGGAGGCCGACCAAACCAAAGTGGTTGGTTTTATGATCGATTCTTAGTAGCTGATTGAACCAAAATGGTTCGTTTATGACCAGGGCTTGGTACCGATCACACCAAAGTTGTTAGTTTTGTGAACAGGATGTGGTTGTTGATCAAACTGAAGCGATTGGTTTTGTGATCCGACTTTGGTGGTTGATCCAACCAACTTGATCAGTTCATCGAGCCAGAGCCACCGATCAAACCGAAGTGGGCAGTTGATCAGACATTGTTTATCGATCAAACCTAATTGATTAGTCGATCGGGTCAGGTAGCTCGATCGAACTAAAGTGGATAATTGATCAGACCTTAGTGGTAGATTGAATCAATTTGATTGGTTGATCGAGCTTGGGCAGCCGATCGAACCACGGTGGACGGTTGATCGGACCTTGGCAGTCAGATGAGCTGAGGTGGTCGATCAAGCCAATACGATCATATGATTGAGGTGACATGCGCAAAGTGTCATGAAAGACATGCATGCAAATGGAAAAAAAATGCATTCAATAGCAAATTAAATTGAACTTAACATTCTCCCATAGGATCTAGGGCTTGATGAAGTCGTATTTATTGTCCTTTACGCAACTTAATGGAGGTTCTACCTCTAATTATCTAACAAGTGTGAAGAAGTGATTTTAAAAGTGAAAAATGGCTTAATTCTTTTGGCCACCTTAAGATGATCCTTCTAAAAAGGAAAGATTTTTGAAACATAAATTATCCATAAAGAACTCTAATGATTAAAACACCAATTAGAAATAATAAAATGATAATTAAAATGTTTCCAAGTAATTTTGGTCTTGCACATGATATTAATAGTATCCAAACGTGTTAGACCAATGCCACCATAATGTTTAGGAATGACAAATTTAATCCAAGCAATAATATGAAGATTATTAGCATCTTTATTACTTTGTAGAAAATTAGAAATCAAAGAAGATATTTTCTTTCTCAAACACTTAGGAATAATAGTAGAACGAAGCCAATAATATAAATAACTTCAGGTTGTGAATTTAATGAGCTGAAACTTAACCATAGAAGATAATGTTTTCTTTTTCCAACCAGCCAACCAATTGTTATTTTATCAATAAGAATATGTCAATTAGGAATTAACAATTTTGAAGGCTTTATAGTAATACATAAATACTTCTAAGGAAATGATTTTACTTTAAAATCACATAAAGTGGAAATATCATTCCGTGTAGAAACATCAACAAATTTTTTAAAAAAATTAATATCAAATTTAGAAGTAGTGATAAATATATTAGTTGCTTTACTAAATCTTTCAAAAATTTTATTAGTGGTTCTAATATAATGAATATAAGTTTTATCAAAAATCAAAATGTTATCAATGTAGATAAGATGTGAGACTTTTGAGAAATTATTATTTAAATTATTCTCAATCATAAAAAAAAGAGAGTCCATAATAATAACAAAATGATAAGGTGAGAGAGGACATCCTTGATGGAGCCCATAATTAGAAGGAAAATATCTTTTTTAGTCACTATTTTGTTATAACAGAAAAATGGATATCATTAGTACAAGCTTTAATCCAATTAAAAAATTGAAAGGAAATCTAATACTTTTCATTTTATGAAATAGGAAATTCTTGTTAACTTTATCAAAAGGTTTAGTAATATCAATTTTATCACAAAATTGCTTAGAAGAATTAAGAGAATTAAAGCCATAGATCATTTCGTTAACTACATAATATTATCAGTAATATCTCGACTTTTGATATAAGCAGACTAAGCAAAATTTATAATATTTGAAAGAATAGCTTTAAGTTTGCTAACTAAAAGTAAAGCAATAGTTTTATAAAAAAAATATTGCCTAAAGATAAAGGTCAGTAATAAGAATATGTACAAGCAACAAATCTTTTCGGAATGATAACAAGAGCAATATATTTAACTCATTTAGGCAATTTAGATGATTAAAGAAAGTATGTAGTAGCAAGAATGCAATCCTTTCCAATAATATGTGAAGCATCTTTAGAAAATTTAGAAGTAAAACCATCAGAATCTAGAGCCTTATTAGAACCAATAGAAAAGAAAACATTGTTAATTTCCTCATCAGAAAGAAGATTGAATTTGAAAAGCATAATCATTCTCAAAAACACTTTGATTGATGGGAAAAGAATAATTGTTAAAATAAGTATCATCACTTTTTTCATTTAATAAACAGGAGTAGAAATGAATGGTTTCATCAACAATATCATCTTGCTTATTAACATATTTATCATTGACAACAATTTCTTTAATAAAGTTAGAATTATGTCCAACTTTAGCTTTTTGAAAAAGAAATTTGACATCATCCTCTCCCTTGGATAATCAATCACATTTAGCTTTTTTCTTTGCCTATTTATAATTACAAATAGTAGCATTGAAAATGTTATTTTGTCTAATAGAAGATTAAACAAGAAAATCTTTAGGAAGAGAAGCATCAAATTGAGAATGGATAACATTTTATCATTCCTTAAGGTCAACAATATAATTGGATAAAACATTATAAGAGTTCCAATTACAACCTTTAAGAGCAGTTTTAACATTGTAAAGTTTGTTACATTGATAAAAATAGGATCACCTTTAACATGAATGCTTCAAGCAAAAGTGACCAACTAAATGAAGTTTGGACAATGAGTTCAAAAATTCTTAAACATGAATCTACAATGTAAAAAAGAAACATTGCCCAAAGAAATTAAAATAAGATAATGATCAGAAGAGTAAAAATTTACAACTTTAAAAAAAGATTCAGGGTATGAATTAATCCAGGTGGAATTACATAAAACTCTATCCAATAAGCATCTTATTGGATTATTTAATTGATTATTGTACCAACTAAAAGAATAACCAACATTTTGATGTTCAACGAGAGCAACATTAGAAATATTGTTATTGAAGTCAAATAATTTGCTAAGAATTGAGGTAAACCTCAAATATTCTCTTGGATAGTTTTGATACAATTGAAATCACCCAAAAGTAACCAAGTATCAAAAATAGTATCAAATAAAGGAGTAATAGAATTCCATAGCACTTTCCTATTAGCAACACTATTATCATCCTAAGCAATAGTAGCATAAAACTTAATATTAGAAGAAAAAGTAATAAAACCATGCATAAACTAAGGATTCAATTTAAAAGTAATAAAATTCAAAATATCTCTATTCCACTTTATCTAAATTCTATCATTCTCAGACGTATTGAAATTATCAACACAACCCTCACTAGAGAAAAAAAAGAAATTGATTTAAAGTACTAAATCTGAGATAGTGAAAAAAAAATACTTTAGTCTTCAAGAGACAAATAAAATCATTCTTGAAATAATTTAACAAATTTTTACAATCCACAATATGAGTCTCACTATTAAGCCCATGCACATTCCAGGAAGTTAATTTAGGATAAAACATAAAAATCAATGAAAGAAGATAAAAAAAATAAAAGAGAAATATTTATTTCTTCTCATTCCAGTTCTTGAGGAAACAAGAGTAGAAGATGATGGAATACCTCTAGAATTATTAACATTAAGATTTGAAATAGGTGTTGAGGTATTAACGTTGCCCAAATTAACGTTAAAAGAAGAAAAGTTATTTGTAAGTGTAATTTCATTACAATTAGGATCACAATTTGAAACATTAGCATTACCATTAGAACTAATAGTATTTTCATTAACAACTATAAAAATGTCATTTTCATCAACTTTGTTGACTGCAACGCCAACCACATGAATATCAGTAGAAGAAATAATTTCATTAATTATATCTTTATTAAAAAGAGTAGAAATAATAGGATTTGAGGTATTCTCCAATTCATTGTTCACCGAATTAATAATCTCATGAGCAATAATATCATTATCATTTGAATTAACTTCATTGAAAGTATGAGAACGTAAAACAACAATGTTGCAATCAAGATCATTACTCGCCGAAATATTTGAAACAGGAATATTTAAATCAGGGCAAGAAGCAATACACCTACTAGTAACATTCATAGGCCTAACATCATTAACAAATTCGCTTCAATATCTCAAATTACCATTAGTAGAATTTCTCTGATTATTCCTTCCCCTATATAACTGATTAATGACATTACCAATAATAGATGTGCTCTTAGGGCAAGAAGAAGGGTTATGAGCAAATGTAGAACAATTCTTGCAAGGCAATGGTTTTCATTCAAAAATAACAGACAAAGTAAATTCTCTATCCATCGTCACTATGGTAATGGTATCTAAATAATATTGAATCGATATTGATTTAGTTTGACTCTAGCATAAGTAAGACACGTATCTTTAACAGTTAGAGGATCAACAACTAAAGGTAACCTAATTTTACTAGTTATTTTAGAGATACCACTTTCAAACCAGCAAAAGAGATACAAATATGGAAATCTGACCCATATAGGGACTTTTTTAAACCCTTCTTTAACGATTCTAAAATCATGAGACCTACACTTGTTTACTGATAAGGGATTATTTAATTTTACAATGAATTATTCCATGAATTATTTAATCCATTCTAAAATTATACTTATTCCATGAATTATTTAATTTTACAATGTTAGATCTTTTATATATATATATATATATATATATATAATTGTTTATTTATTTATTTATTTTGGAAAACTTATTCCTCTTCGATGTTCCCATCTAATCGTATCTATGCTTCCTAATTTATAACATGAGGCGGTCTTAAAAAGGACATTACTCTTATCCTTAAGAACCAGAGATCCTCTACCTCGACATTCCTTCCTAATCAAGCTGTTTTGGCCTTCAATCCCCATACCCTATTCTCCTCTCCGCCCTTCAACCTCTGTCTCCTCACCGATCTACCCAATGGGGCTGCCATGGCGCAAGATCTCCAGCAACCATTCCGCCCTCCCTCCCTCTGCACACTCCTTTCCCCTCTCCTTCAAAAACATCAACTCCCTACAACTCGACAATAACCCCCTCGTCTTACAACGTTCCATCTCTGCATCCGCCGCCCTCCGATTCCTCTTCCCCTTCACTCCATCGCCCCTCTACGACCCCATTGCCCACCATCAACCGATATTGTTATACTACACAAGCCTCCGCGTGGTACGCCGCACCTTCGAGGACTGCTGCACCGCGCGCCGCATTCTCCGTTGCTTCCGCGTCGCCATTGACGAGCGTGATCTCTCATCGGACTCGCGATTCCTCTCGGAACTGAAGGGAATCTTGGGCGTGAAAAGGCAGCAGCAGATCATACTCCCGCAGCTGTTCATCGGCAGCCACCACATCGGCGGCGTGGATGAGATCTTGCGCTTGCACGAGACTGGTGAGTTGAAGAAGCTTGTAGCTGGGCTAACGCCAGTCTGCCGGCGTTGCAGCAGCTTTCGTTCTGTTCTTTGCAGTTGCTGCAATGGAAGCCACAATTGCTCGAATGAGAAGGGCGATGGGTTCCGGATCTGCCATGCCTGCAACGAGAATGGACTCGCCCTCAGCCCTGATTGCCCGTGAAGTTCGTAAAGGCGTGGACAACGAGCTTCCTAATTACTTTCTTTTCTCACTTTTAGCAATTTTTGAAAGTGTGGGGAGTTTTTCATAAATTCCTAATTGGACTGGTCCAACAACATTCGGCCTGGTTATTTTTTGAATTACATATTATTTCTAGTTTCTAATGGCTTCTAATCGGCATAAATTTTGAATTGAAGTTGTGATATTTTAGTATATTCATTGCATTAAGTACTTGATTTGGTTCTGACATCATAAGAATTGAAACAATTTCTATCTTTTTTAGTGAATTCAAATGAAATTAATTGATATTTTCTCTTTATGGTGAACACACTCAACGATTTGAGAAAATATTATATCTCGAGTTTGATGGTGGGGTATCATGTGTCAAGTGGGTCTCACCGTAATACACTGATATTGACCAATGTTAAACCTCAATACAATTGTCAAGTGGATCCCACTACAATACCACAATGAAATTAATTGTTATTTTCTCTTTATGGTGAACACACTCAAGTATTCGAGAAAATATTACATTCGGACTTTAAATTTAATTTAAGAATCTAATGGTGGGGCATCACGTGTCAAGTGGCCCCACCGCAATACACTGCTATTGATCAATACTAAAAATGATGGGGCCTATTTAACACGTCGCGTCCCATCACTATTAAACTCCAGATGTAATATTTTTTTCAAGAATTCATGTGTCCCTCACTTATGATGCGCCTTCTATTTGTCTTCTTAGAGATGGTGGAGGAGATGATTTCCAGCGTGAAGGCAATGAGAAGAGAGAGCACGTGGAAGGAAGGTTGCCGATCCTGCTTTTCTGCACTTGCTTGCTCCCGCCTTCTACTTTTTAAGGCTAAAGCAATCGACGTCGGAGGGATGCTTAAAATATTTAAATTTCAAAATTGACGGCAGCGATTTCGTTTGAATTTCCGTAGTTTCGAGGAAATAATTAAAATACTTTTTTAATGGACAAAATTGAACGGAAAGAAAATTTAAAAAGCTCCCGAGTGATGGGAGAAAATTTCGGTGCGAAGATCATGATGATTTTTTTCTTAATTTTAGGAATATAAAATAAATTATTAAAATACTTAAAGTTTGATCAAGGCTATATAAATGCCGGAAAAATATTATATCAGGACTTCTAACGTAGAGCTACGTTCGGAGTCCAATGAAATGACACTATGTGGAAGTAACAGAAAAATTAAAAAAAATCGTTTTAGCGCAGGGAAATATTCCTCCGTGTTATTCTGCATTATTAATGTGTTATTGTGGTGATATTTATGTGTTATTGTGTTCTGGGAATATTCTCGGTATTATAATAACACAATAACACATCAATATCATCATAATAACGCGTGAATAATGCGGAATAACACAGGAAGAATACTCTCCTGTGTTAACGGGTCGGAGCACAGAAAAGCGCGAACGTTTCCTTGAAGCCACGTTTCCCCATATCTGTTGGCTCCAAACGTAGCTCTACGTTAGGAGTCCTGATGTAATATTTTTAATCTTCAATGAATTAAAAAAAAAAAAGAGAGGAAATTTACGTACGTAGCACCCAATTTTTATGTGGATTTGGCGTGCGCGATAAGCAAATGCATAAGAATTGGGTGCTATGCATGTAAATTCTCCTAAAAGAAATTGAACACCATGCTGTTCTGCAAATATTAATTATGTAATTATATTTTTATTCAAATATTTTTTAGCCTATTTCATGCACTCCATATTTAGGAATTTTGCTACCCGAGCGTCCAAATATATTCCTTTTCAAATGACGAGAGGAAGGTGCTCCTCCCATCCTACTTCGGTCAGCCATAATCATTTGTTTTTAATTCACAGATATTACACATGTATTACATAATTTAAGTAGCAAAATACTGTTTACATAACCATTTTATTTCACTCTAAAATTCAATCTTAGAATATTTTTCTGGATTAAAACTAAGGTAAAAATTTTATTTGACATGTGTGACCATGCCATGATCCAGCGTGACCACACTAAAAATCTAAACTTGTAGGGTGACCGGGTAGCCCGATGTGACCACGCGGACGGAGCGGTAAATCATTTTGGAAAGAAATTTTCTTTGCCAAATCCATGGATTCATACATAAGAATGAATATTTTGGCTTCTTGAGAGGAGAAGAGAGATCTGGGAAGGCTAGAGGCAGAGAATATGAGAGATTTTGAGTGCTTTTCTAAGGTTTTCTTCCTCCCCTTTTGTTGAAACCTAGAATAGAAATGTGAGTTTGAGAGAATTATTGTATGAGAGGGAAATGTGCTGCTCTTGTGGAGAGGATAAGTCTTTACTGTATGTTTAACTTTCTTTTGTATCTTGCAAGGAAGATTTGCATGTATTTATTGTCTGTGGGTTTCTCAACAATGCATTGCTAAACTCATTTTTGTGTCTATGTGATATAGTGTTATGGCTTTATCGTGGTTTTCTATGATGTTTTTCCTATAGTGTTTTCCATGCTTTCATGACCTATGTTGTTGGTTAACCTTCGAGTTTTAATTATTCATACTCTGGCCAACTTGGATATTAAAATTTTTTTGTGAAGCTATGATATCTTACCATTGCATGGTGAAAACGAAAGGTTAACCACAGAATCCTGAGATGATAGACATATTCCAAATGAACTTTGCAACATTTTCTGGGGATCAGAACATTTCTGCATAATGTCTTAGGGATTGAGAGAGCTTAACTTCATGGATTCTAGTCTTCTTTTGACATAAAAATAGAAATAAGAACTTTCCATTCCTGGTTGACAACTATCACCTAGAAAAACATATATGAACAACACCATCCACCACAATCCCTACGTCACAGAGGCACGAGCCTCGTAACTTTTGAAGAATTTCTAAGATTTTCTCTGCTTTTGTATTTTATATCGTCTACGATTTGCTATGCTTTTATTAGAATTTTAGAACTTAAAACCTCTTTTGCAATCAGGCCCAACAAGGTTCACAAGATTAGTAAACTAGAGATTTTTTTGCAGAAATAATTGTTAAACATTTCCTCATAGGATCGATACGCGGACTATTAAACCCCATATTACTTGACACGTATACTTACATTGTACGACCTACTTACTTCACAATAAGTTCTGGCGCATCAAGTTTTTGGCGGCGTTGTCGAGGAAAAATATTAATAAATATTTCTATTTTAGAAAAACTTTTGTTTATAAGTCTAAGATTTAAGTTTGACACTTTTTTGTTTCCATGTCATTATTTATGTTTGTTATTTCTATTATTGTATCTGTATTGTTTCTCTTTTCTTGCAAGGGTTGAAAAATAAAAAAATATGAAATAAATAAATAAATCAACAATCAATATATATATATATATATATATATATATATATATATATAACGAGTAGTATTTAGAGACAAAAAA